CCTTCCTTCTTCACTGTCTGTCTGTCTTTCTCCCTTCCTTTCTTTAGTATAGTGTCAGTCACTGGGTAGAATGACACACTAGCGCATGTAACGAGACCTGTGGCAATCATGTGTCAGCGCAGAAATGGGAAGTATTCACTGTATGGATTTAAAAATAGTTGATCCCAGAGGACTGGAAGAAATTAACAGCAGTTGTTTTTTTTAAAGGATCTGTTACTCAATGTAGCAATAATTCTCATATTATTTCTAAGAATGCCAGTTTTACTGACAAAGAAATTTAAGCAATCTAATTGAAACTCAACATTTTTTGCCCAGGTGAGAGCCCTAAATGTATAAATAGATATATTAAGAAAAACAGGGTCGGGGGATATGTAGCTCTCAGATGTTCTTTGACTGTAGGGAGCTGCCGTCGCCCCCAACCAACCTAGGTAATTGTGAAGAATGCAGTGTAGCTTGCCATCAACATCTGGAATAACATGTGTTCTCCACACACATTTGAAGAGCACTTTTGAATGCTCAGAGCATTTCACAGGTACATGGTTTTGTAATTGTAACAACAGCCTTGCCATCTGCATATTGCAGGGCAGAGCTGAGGTTTACAAAGAGTGACTTGTCTAAAACCATTTAGAGCAGTGATTCCCAACCTTGGGTCTCCAGATGTTCTTGGACTTCAGCTCCCAGAAATCCCGGCCAGCACAGCTCATGGTGAAGGCTTCTGGGAGTTTTAGTCCAAGAACATCTGGGGACCCAAGGCTGGGAACTACTGACCTAGTTCATGGTGGAGGCAAGATTAGAACTGAGGAACCTCTTGATTTCTCTCTCTTCTTCTTTTTCTTTCTCTTTTGGAACAAGCCAGGCATTTTAGAGGAATTAGAAAATTAGCCACTGGGAAAGTAGCTGTCAAACAACAAGAGAACGAGGAGGCAGCCTATACAGGAGAGGCCTATGGGAACAGACGGGTTTAGGAGGAAGGTGTGGTGTGAGATGAGCAGAGGAAGAGGAAGCAAAGGAGAAGGAGTTAGGAAGGAGAACGGGGATGGAGACACTTAATGGAGGGATGGATTGCTGAGATGTTACGATTGGAAATTACGGGAGGGGGGGAGAGCAGCGTATACTTGTTCACTTTTATGCTTAGCTGGTTTGTAAGTACTGTATTTATCCTCTCCTTTCCACACTCTCTTTGCATGCGCAGGGACTCTCCAGAGAGACCGTATTTTTAAAAACTTCACCCGGAAACGCCAGCGGGCCATGCGCAGACGGGTTCACCAAGTCAACGGGCACAAGTTTATGGCTACTTACTTGCGGCAGCCTACCTACTGTTCACACTGCCGGGAATTTATTTGGTAAGTGTGGATTGAAAAGGGGGGCTCTGGTGAGACTCTTGTGAGCCGTTCCTTTCTCTAAGCTACACGCTGCTTCCCCAGGAGTAAGACCCCGTGGGCGACATACTTCTGAATAAGTGGTAGAGATGGGGAAAGTGTTGCCCTACAAGTATAGCTGGACGCCGGATCCCACCTGCTCTCTTCAATGGTCAGAACTGTTGTTCTCATTTACTAGTGGGAACTGTAAAGAATCATCATCCGGAAGGTTGCCATTTGCTAATCCCTGGCTATAGGGATTGCAATTAGAAGTAACTTTTAAAGAGAAAAATACCAACATCTCTGCAAAATGGCTGGAAAGAAGCAACCGGTGTAAATCAGTTGGTTTTTGAATTACAAATGTATTTCTATCGCAAACTGTTGCAGTGCGGAGGGTGGGGAAATGTAGGTGTTGACCGAAGGAATGACAAAACCTGCAAGCCTTCTTCAAATGTACAGAGTATCCTTCGGGATCGGACAGGATACAGTGGTACCTCGCTAGACAGTTACCGCACATGACAGTTTTTTCGCTAGACATTGACTTTTTGCGATCGCTATAGTGATTCGCAAAACAGTGATTCCTATGGGGGAATTTTGCTGGACAATGTTTGGTCCCTGCTTCACAAACCGATTTTTGCTAGACGACGATTTTGACAGCTCCCTCTGCGCTTGCAAAACAGGTGTTTTCGGGACCTAAGCTTCACAAGACAGTAATTTAAACAGCTGATCAGCGGTTTACAAAGCGGCTTTCCTATTGCTGATCTTCGCTAGACAATGACAATTCTTCCCCATTGGAACGCATTAAACAGGCTTCAATGCATTCCAATGGGGAAATGCTTTTCGCTAGACAATGATTTTGCTAAGCAGCGATTTCAGTGGAGCGGATTATTATCGTCTAGCGCGGCACCACTGTACCTCCTGTGGGCTTGGTTTTAGACATGCATTGTGAGCATGGTTGTGCTGTCTTGCGGTCTTTCATTTACACATAGATAATGTTGTACAAACTAGACCAGATTTTCATGGTTTTGTCTGATCCTCAGTCATGTGTTGTCTCTGTTTTATCTTCTGCAGGGGAGTATTTGGGAAGCAGGGCTATCAATGCCAAGGTACAGTGCCTTATCTCTGTAGTTAAATTATAAGATACAATTTGGTGGTGTCCTCTCACCACTAAAGGTCTTGTGAGCTGAATGGAAGATGGTCAGAAGTATTGCTATACCACCTGACTTAGTGAGATTGCTTTACATAGCAATAAACTGACAATGGTGAAGAATTACGGAAAGCGTAAGAGCCATAACACCACCCCCCATTAAATCAGTTGAACATTTTATAATTAAAAAGTGCACGTGCATAATGACACCGATGTAAAATAAAATCCTAATAATACACCAAAGCTACAAACAAAATAAAAAATATAATAGATTTAACAAGTCATAACAAAATAAGTGCAGGGTCATGACTCAAGTATTATCAGTGGATCATGACTCTGCTGATAGGCACAGCTTTTACACTGACAGACAGATAAATGCCTGTGCATGTCTGTTGGTATTTGTTATGAAGATTGCAATCTGTAATGTAAATATGCTGGAACAGTCCATCCTACCCAGTGCCTAATTAACTTACTGAATTCAATATCACAATGTCTGTAACTCCACTGGTGCTGTGGGAGTAATGCTTCCAACGGCAGTGATAGGTTGCCACTAATTAAAGAGTCCCTGCCTTGATATCGGGCTGTTCAGGATCTAGTCTCTTTGTGTGTGAGTAGTGACACTCAAGGGACGTGGTGGCGCTGCGGGTTAAACTGCAGAAGCCTCTGTGCTGCAAGGTCAGAAGACCAGCCGGCGTAAGATCGAATCCATGCAACGGAGTGAGCTCCCGTCACTTGTCCCAGCTCCTGCCAACCTAGCAGTTTGAAAGCATGCAAATGCGAGTAGATAAATACAGTCATAGGTACTGAGAAGGAAGAGCTACATGTCCCTCTTCTTCAGACCTCAACCTGAATACTAAACTTTCCTTCTTTGGGGGCCGGAATCCAAAAGCTAGTTCTGATTACTTTGGACACATTGAATGAATGGGATGTTTTGTCAGTGTTGACTTACCTTTCAACAGTGAATTCGTTGTGTCTCTTGTGTGTGTGTGGAGGTTAGCAATGGGATTTAAGCTACAAGGTATCACTAATCCAAATCTTTGGGACCAAACTTTGGGGCAAGGAAGAAACTGTGGGACTCTCAGGTTGCATCTAGGTTTCGTCCTGCTAAAATTGGCTGGACTTCTCCACTACGTGTTTGCTCCTGGGAGATCGGCACAAAATGAACCACGAAGTAAGAAAACCGACGAATGGAGCTGGTTTGTGGCTCAGTTCATGACCCAGCACATGGATCCTGTTTTGCCAAAGTAAAAGGAAGCACCAAACTTTTTCCACCCCTCGGTGCTTCATTTTGATTTGGCAAAATGGGATGCTTCCCGCTTCCCACTGCCCCCACTGGTCTAAAAAACCACCAAAACCCCCCAAAAAACGAACTGCAAACCAGTTCATGGGGGGGTTATGATAGTTCACGGGTAGCCACGAACCACAAACCATCATCAACTGCTGGTTTTCCAGTTTCTGCCTTTCTCTCTTGCTGCTAAGCATCATGCGTAGGGTTGGCTAGCACCTTTAGATGGATTGTGGTGATAGAATATCCTTTTTGCTTTTCTTCTTTGGTTTCTGAGGTTTCTGGTGAGCTCTCTCCATGTTTTTACTTGTGCTTCCTTTTGTCTTCTAGTTTGCACGTGTGTGGTGCACAAGCGTTGCCACCACCTCATTGTCACGGCTTGCACCTGCCAGAACAATAGCAACAAGACGGATGCAAAGGTAAAGTCACCGTGACACATTTTGAGATTCTGCCGCTTGTGGTTTTGATGCCCAGCGTGGTGTCGTGAAGAGAGTGAAGGACTAGGACTCAGGAGACCTGAGTTCGAATTCCCGATCAGCCATGAAAACCCACTGGGGGACTGGAACTGGTAAAACCTCTGCTTAAATCTCTCACTTCCCTTGAAAGTTCTATTAGGAACTGCTATAAGGCAGTTCAAGGAGACGGCACATAATAGCTTGTTCGATGTGCCATGGTATAAACTGGTTGATCTTTAGATAATATATTTAATTTGATGCATTTTAATTTTATGCATCTATTTATTTTATGCATGTATGCATTTATTTAAATCACATCCTTCTTTTCCACTAACACTGTGCTTGAGGCAAGTAGTCAAAATAAAACGCCACTAAAAGATAACATGGCTAAAACATAACACGAAATAGTAAGAACAGATCCGTTAGAAAGGAAGGAACAAACAAACAGCACTAACCAATTCAGTTCTGGTTCAACAGCTAAACAGCCCAAGTTCTGCCAGAGTAGTAAAAGGTCTTAGCCTAATGGTGGGTGAAGGTCATCCTTGCTCTCCAGGTGAAGGGCTGGAAACATCCACCAAGAACACCCCATTTCCGTGTTCCCCATGTTCTCTTGCTGGAGCATGAGAAGAGCATCTCCCATACAGGCTTGCAAAGCTGAGCTAAAGTCTCTAAACCACCTTCAAAGCCAATCCCCAGTAGAGCACGTCACGAAACTTCAAATGAAATGCAACGAAATGGGATATACAGTCATGGCCAAAAATATTGGCACCCTTGCTTTTTTGTCAGAAAATGCAACCCTTCTCTCAGAAAATTGTTGCTGTTGCAAATGTTTTGGTACTCACGTGTTCATTTCTTTGGTTTGCGTTGGAACCACACACACAAAAAGAGAAGAAAAGTCAAATCTGATACAGTCCCTTGCTGGTCTGCTTTGAGAGGTGATAGGCATGTATGTTTACATAGCACCTGGATCCCTGGTTTTAGCAAGGGTCCAAATGTAGAAGGCGAGATCTTTAACGGGCTGTCCAGCTCTGGTTTGCTATAAACGTTTCCAAGTTTTTCATTTTCATGGCACTCTCGTTCATCAGGCAGGATGGGAAAACAGCGTATTGACTGATGCAGAGAATGAGACAGTCAGGATCATGCCCATGTTTCGTAAGAGCATAGATTCCTGTCTTAATTGGCTTATTTATAGTCTTAAAGACCACAGAAAAAGGTGAGGCGAAGGAAATCTTCAGGGTTACCACGGCTCGCTCATCCATCCATCCATCCATCCATCCATCCATCCATCCATCCATCCATCCATCCATCCATCCATCCATCCATCCATCCATCCATCCATCCATCCATCCATCCATCCATCCATCCATCCATCCATCCAGTCAGCTTTATATCCTGACCCATTCGTGCAATGCACTATTCTGGGTGGTTCGTGTCAGAATCACTTCTCCCTAAAGAGATAGTGTCTTGGGCAAGGGGTCATTGTAAGTGCAAGACCGCCACTTTTAGTGCCTAAGACAGGTCCTTTGACCCTCAGAAGTGGGCAGTTCTTGCCCTAAGGACAAGCTTTACCTGAAAAGAACTCTTGCCATCTTACAAGGCAACAAACCACTGACTGTGTGCTTCCTTAGACAGTACAACAGATTGGCTAGGTAGGACCTCTCAGTTATAGTAGCAATAAGTGAGCTTTCCACTCCACACTGGATTTAGGTGCAGTCCTGCTGTTCAAGAGGCAAACTCCTTTGTTGAAGAATAATTGTTTTATTAAGAAAATAAAGTAGTTCCATTAAAATGTAACTGGAAGTGGTGAAAGTTGCAAGCGTGGAAGGAGAAATCCTGGAAGCAGTTCTAGAAACACAGTTGCACACTGAGTAGACCGTCAGCTGCAAAGTCAGTTGCGTAGCTAAGTAGGGTGGTCAGTTGCGCAGCTAGTTCGTGTAATCAGATACGTAGAGCAGCTGGATGTAACTCCCTGCAAAGTTCTGTGGGTGTACTTTGCACTGTATCAAATGCAGCAGGATTTCTCCCACTGAATGCACACCTGGTGCACAGACAAATCATGATTTGAAGATGCTTTTCTGGCATCTGCAGCCAGATTTTTATCATGCTTTCCTGGCTGTCACATTGTCGATTTTCACATTAAGAAGAACTTTGTGATGTCCCTCTCTCGTTGTGGTGCCCTGTCAGAATTCAGGTGGACGGTATCAGGGCTGAACAGGGCTTTGAATGAACAGTGTCTTGCATAAAGAAAGCTAGCCTGTCAGGAAGAAAGGTTCTAAGCTAGACATCCTGGCATGTTGGTTTTCTTTGTGCAGGGAATTTGACAATGTTATGATCAGTCAGGCATGTCTTGGGCAAAATGATGCTTCTCCGCCTCAGGCAATCAAACTGGAATTCTGCTGTATGGAGAGACAAGAAGTATCTTAACTTATTTTTGTTAAAACCAACCAACCAACCAAGCAAACAGGAGTGTTTGTGTGTACAAACAACCCGAGATGTATGAGGAGGCATGTTAGAATGCCACTTAATTGTGACTCTGGCATGTGGCCTTTAGGTGTTTTGGACTACAGTTCCCATCACCCATGACGATTGTTTGTCCTGTGTTCTGTTATTCTTTTATTCTTGCGCAAATCCAAAAATTGTCTCCCCTTCCCAGTTTTTCAATGACAACTCCCGGGAATACCTCGTTTCCACAAAAATAAGACAGGGTCTTATAGTAATTTTTGCTCCAAAAACACATTAGGGCTTATTTTCAGGGGATGTTTTGCTTTTTTCATGTACAACAATCTACATTTATTCAAATACGGTCATGTCATCTTCTGGCTGCTGCACAAGGGTGGAGGGTGGGGTTTCACTTAACTGGGAGTTTATTTGGGGGGGCTTATATTACGAGCATCTTGAAAAAATCCTACTAGGGCTTATTTTCAGCTTAGGTCTTATTTTGGGGGAAAGAGTAGCTGGTTGTTAAAAAAAGAGGTGACCCCATAAATGCAAAGTAGATGGTGCAAGTTTGGCCCTCCATTGTAAGGTCTTCCCCCATAACATGGGGATGATCATTAAAGTCCTTTACAGGTGTGCTGCAAGGATCTTTACCAGGGAAAGCTACAGATTAAGTAATAATTTTTAAAAAATCAATAGACAGTGAATCCACCCCGCTAAACTGAGCTTGATTTAAGGGAATCCAGTGCAATGTGGAATACATTCAAAAGCCATTCAGGATTCGGAGTGTTTTTTGTAAATGGAAGAGGGGATGGAAAATACACTGGTATTTTAAGAATGGATTTGCATTTCTCCAACTAACCAGCTTTGCCTTTCCTCCCCTGCCCGTTGTCCTCACAGTTTTCTGAGCAGCGGTTTGGAATCAACATCCCGCACAAATTCAGAATCCACAATTATAAAGTGCCCACCTTTTGCGACCATTGCGGTTCCTTGCTTTGGGGGATCATGCGACAAGGCCTACAATGTAAAAGTAAGCTCAGAAAGCGAAATGCTCTCTCTGTTCGTTCATTCTACAATTTTCGGTATGCGGATGTTCCCTTATTTTTATGCTCACTGGTGGGAAAGTTTCAGATGTTTTTCCCCCCTGTTGGCTGGGATGACAAGAGTTTTTGTGGGGTTTTGCGTGTTCTGGGACTCTAGGCCCTTCTGTACCACCCTAAACCCCACCCTTGAAAAAGTGCAGAAGTCCTTTTTTGCATCACAGAAGCTTCCACAAAATTCATATACTTTGTGCAAAAACCCTTGAGTTTTCTGCATTGAACACCTTGCAAAAAAAGGGCAAGGTTTTCAGTGCAAAATGCAAGGTTTTTTGTTTTTTGTTTTGTACAGAACACAAAACAGTGTGTGAAATACAAGCCCTTCCCTCCTGCCCTCTCACTGCTCATGTTACTGCTAATGGAAAGCTTTGGTTGTTTTGCTCTTGCGCTGGAGAGGAACATCTCATAGCGGTTGACACTTTTTGGATGGGACACCTCCATGTGTCAAGAGACCCTTTTTCATTGGAAACAAGAAAAATTCCGAGTGTTCCTTACGAGGGGCGTTGCCTTTTTCCTGAACGGTTTTGTTCCGATTTCCGAGTTCTAGTAAAAACAAGCTGTTTACTATTCACATTTAAGAGGGCTGCTGAACACAGTCCTGGAATAGATGACCAAACAGAAAATACTTTCTCATTTTTTAAAAAAGGACAAAAAAGGGATGTGATTTGTTTTTTAAAAAGTGTGTTTATAAGCATCTATAATTACAAAATTATAGACACCATTCCTCAACCTGCATTTCTCGTGCAGGGTGAGAAATGATGATTATAATTTCAGAATTATTTATTTATTATCAATTACATTTAAATCTTACCCATCCCTTAATAATTTAAAGACAACGGGTGTGACTCTCTTCTCCTTCTCCTTCGCTTCATCCTGTGATGTGTGTCAAGCTAAGAAAAAGTGACTGGCTCAGAGTCACCTTATGGCTGGCTCAATAGGGACTAGGAACTTGATCACCCAAATTCATTAGTGCAGCCATTACTCCACACCAGGTGTTGTGCAGAAATACAGTACATTTCACTATAATGCGGAAGACGGTGCTTAGGTAGGTAAACAAAACAAAAGGAACCGGTCCATCCACAAAAGATATTATAAATGAGAGACAAAGTTTCAGGATGTAGAAATGATCCTCTAAGAGCCCCACAGGACCATCCTCTGGAAATTAGGATACATGGCCAGCAGAAGCGCAGTCTGATTCGGCTACTTAGGTCTTTACGTTGTGGAGAGAACTTGGGCCAAGGCCTTCAGTGCTCAATAATTCTTGCGTTGGCCCCACTTTTTCCTTGGTGCTAGTTATACAGTCCATTCACTCCTCCTTTCCTTTTAGAGTCCAGTCTGCACCGCAGACTACCTAGTGGGACAGTACAAGATCAGAGACTAGTTGGCCTATCTTCTGGATAGCTCAGTGGCTCCACTGGATAGCACTGTGGAGTCAGAGGTTGGGAGTTCAATTCCCCGCTGTGCCTCCTTGATGGGCTGGACTAGATGATCCATAGGGTCCCTTTCAGCTCTGCAGTTCTAACATGATGTCGATGGTGATCTTCCCAGTTTGATCTTTTCCCTGCCTCCATATTCAACGTCGGTGGTTGGACAGGCAATGAAGAGTGGATGGAAGAGGGGGCGATGTCCAGCCAGGGGGAAAGGCTGTTTCAGAAAGCCTTAGGCGCTCTTTCATCGCATATAGTCTCAGCAGCCACCACTCAGTTCAGGAGGGGTGGTTGTTGCCTCCTGCGTTGCAGATCCTGTGTTTAACTGAGGATGGTACACCACTCTCTTAGTTTGAAGGCCAATTTAGAATTTTGTAATACAGTATATTCCAATTCAGTCTGGAAAAAAAATTTGTGCCCCATCTGCATGCCGTTTTGAGTCCATTTTGAAGTCTTCCGTTCAGATGCATTTGGGAAAAAAAGAGAAAACTTTGAAGTTTTTGCTTGTGTTCTGAGGCATTTGTAGACACAATAGATCTTAAAGAAGGAATTTCAGGCATTTTCTTACTGAACACCTAATTTTGATATATTTTTTTAAAAAAACAAACACATAAGTTGAAATGATTAGTGCCTCTATCTGGTGCTTCAGATCAGAACTGAGTTGTCCATTCACTTTTTTCATCCCAGAATTGAGTCTGGCGTTCTCACCTGATACTGGACCTCATGCACATCAGTATGAAACAGGCTAATTCAATTTGCAGTTTATGATTTGCCTTGACAGAGCCTGGGAAAGCTATATTCCTGGGTGACAGTTGTCAAAATATCCAAGCCAACATAGTTACAGGCCAGGTTGGCTGGAGGTTGATGGCCACTGTAGTCCAGAAAAAAAACCCCTGCTTTTCCAACTCTGGATTAGATTACCTTTAAATTGCTGTCAATGTCTAGGATTCTGTCATCCAAAAGCGAAGGGACAGAGAGAAGATTCCCAGGGATTTTTTTCAAGTTACAACTTGGTAAACAGAACGTCATGGAAAGGTTGGCTTCTTCCAGAGAAGTAAAAATGTTCCCAAAGGGTTTCGTCTCATTGAAACACATTTATTTCAGAATCATTCTCCAGAAATCAGATTTGCAGGAAACTCTGCCTTGCTCAACCCTGATTGCCTTTCTCTCTGCCTTTCCAGTTTGCAAAATGAATGTACATATACGGTGTGAAGCCAATGTGGCGCCCAACTGCGGGGTGAACGCTGCGGAGCTGGCCAAGACATTAGCATGCATGGGGTTGCAACCAGGAAATATTTCTCCAAATGGAGTAAGTCGGGGTTTTTTCCCCCTTTTTTTCTTCTTCTTCTCTTTCCTACCCTTTTCCACATCACTGCATTGTGTAACTGGAACACCACACCTTAAATTCTCAACAGCAACATCTATAAAAATTAAGCCAAATACAGTGGTGCCTCATTTAACGATGTTAATTCGTTCCAGCGAAATCGCTGTAGAGAAAATAAAAAACCCATTAAAACCCAGTTAATGCGTTCCAATGGGCTAAAAACTCACCATCCAGCGAAGATCCTCCATACGGTGGCCATTTTCGCTGCCTGTTTAGTGAGGAATCCATCCTAGAAAACAGCGGGGGGGCATTTTCTTCAGCCGGCGGCCATTTTGGAACCTGATGATCAGCTTTTTCCCGAAGCAGGGAACCGATCATCGTACACAAAATTAGTTCGTGAAGCAGGGAACCAATCATTGCACCGTGGATTTTGCCCATAGGAAGCATCATTTTGCAATCGCTTTTGCAATCGCAAAAAAGGCATCGTTAAGCAGATTCGTCATTATACGGAGCAATCGTAAAGCGAGGCACGACTGTACAAGAAACTCAAATGATGGCAGAACCCCCAACCCAAGTCCATCAATAGCATGGTGGGGGGGAAGGATGTCTTTAAATGCTTCTTTTAAAAGTTCATTCTTTAATAGCCTCTTGAATGGATGGGGTTCCCATGAACCCGTGACCTTTGAGAGGGCCTATTTAGTACCAGTCCTACTCAGGTGTTGCAAAATAAAACCTGGGCTTTCCTTTTTCCATCAACACGTCTCAGGTTCAGCCTTCCAAAGAGGGGGAAATTTGTGGCTGTGCTGGTGAAAGTTGGCAAGGCAGTGACCAAGGTGGGCAGGACCCTATTGCAAAATCTCTTTCCGATGAGCACTTTTATGGTCCAACCAAGCACATGGGGAGACCATCTGTGTTTAATACAGCAGTACACATTTTAAAAGAAATGTTTTCTTCAGGCTGAAGCTGTAGTCACTGCATTTTGGTCATAGATAGGCTGAGCCTGCGGCCCAAATCCCAAAGGCTCCTCGCCCCCAACCGTAAAGCCCTGCTAGTTAGTGCCCATAATGGTGAAACCCTCATCAGTTTACAGTGAAAATCTGGGCAAGTTTCTGGTCCTCATGTGTCCAAAAAAGAAGATCTGGAAATCAGTGAATGTAAATATTTCAGAGCAGCATCCGGCTATCAAGCAAGGACCAGCTACGATGTCTCCTTGTGAAAAGCAGCAGCCCCTGGCTTACCCAACCTTTTTCTCCTTGCTAGAAGCAGGCCTCCAGATCAACGCTGAGGCGCCAGAAGAAAGAGAGCGTGAAAAAGGGGAACGGTGTGCCTGAAGTTTCAGCAAGCAAGCTGAAGATTGAGGATTTGATATTCATCAGAGTGCTGGGGAAAGGCAGTTTTGGAAAGGTAAAGTGGGCATCCTTTGAGCCTGCGCAGCATGGAGGATGTGCACCATGCAGCAATTGTAATACAAAATGTTTGAGAGTGGTTCGGCTGTACCTAGGCAATTAAGAGCTGTTAGCTTTACCAAAGACCCGCTCCTTTATTGATGTGGACTAGAGATGGGCACAACCCGCTGAACTGCCGGTTCATGCCAGTTTCTCCTTTGGACAAACCGGTGTTTGGCAGTTCCCACCTCCTCTTCCTCTGGCCTGTGCCCACTCAGAGGCATTTCCCTGGCTTCCCTGCCTCACCTTCTCCGGGTGCTACCTCTTGAGTGGGCGCAGGCCAGAGGAAGTAGAACTTGGAACTGCTGAGCTACCTGTCGATCTGAAGGCTAAACTGGCACTTACTGCCAGGTTGGCACTTCATGGCCATCTTGAAGAGGAACTAATCCAGCAACCTTATATCTGAATTTTTGGAGAGAACTGGTATGGGGACCTGAGAAGCATCCGGACTTCCAGATTTACCACCAGGTCCTGATCCAACTTGCTACAGGACTACTTGAGTTCAACGTCCATTCATTTCAATGGACTTTGCATGGAAATAAGTGGGTTGCACCTGTATGCACCCTTTCTTCCAAGCATCTGCACCTAGGAACTACGGAGATTAGAAGTCCCTGTGACTTGTGGCATCTACAGCTATTGTTGTTGTTGTTGCTGCTGCTATTTACTGGAAGTTCTAGGTCCTCTCCCGAGGTGGCCACCATACATGTTGAATTAAGGAGCACATGCACAGAGTCCGGAGCTTTGATACTGAAAATAAGAGCGGGTTCCCCATCTTTTCAAACAAGATTCTGCTCCTCACGAGTTCTCTTTGAAAGCCATTTGAGACAGAGGCCGGCAGAAAGCATTTCTACAGTTATTTCTTCCTTTATTTGTATCAGAGCGTTGCACAATTAACAATGATAGATGTACGTGCAATATAGGGAAGGTTTAAAACAAATTAAAATGTTAAGTTAATTAGACTGTTTTTGACCAGAAGCGGGCTACTTCAATAGCTTTTTCTCAGCCGTTTGCTAGACGTTCTTTTGTATACGCTGTGGGGGGCATAAATTGCACGCACCCAGGCGCTGCATGGATTGAATTTCTCCATAGTCACAGAAGATTTGTCCTGTATCCCCATTTTACTTGATTATTCTTTGATCTTCCTACTTTGCTTCAAAGTCTGCGAAGGGACTTCCAGAGGGTCCAGCGAGAGTCTCGTCCTGGTGGGAGACATTCTTCAGCCTTCTTCCGTGTTGTTTTTGCTCGCTGGAAAGAGTCACTCTAAGTCAAAATTTAATTGACATATGATTATTGTTATTAAAATATAAATGATAAGTCCCGATTCTACTGATTTCTGGCCACTGTGCATATGCTGAACAGGCAATACAGGAAGCTGGTGGAGCTGTATTGGCTGGTTGGGGGGGGGGTAAAGCGGGCACGAGAAATGCAAGACAAGGCTCTGCGTCTTTAAAAGTTGCGTGGAAAGGGAAATTGATCAGATGCGTGACAAGCTGAAATTGACACTTCTACCTGATTTCTAAAGGTATAGCCCTGTTCACCATTCTTAAGTGTCTAGCTGCAGAGCAAGAGGTTGGGAGTTCGATTCCTCCACTGGGCCTCCTGCGAGTAGAGCCAGCCTGGGGGGCCTTGGGCAAACTGTACAGTCCCACAGCTCCCCTAGAGGAAGGAAAGGGTAAAGCACTTCTGAGTATTCTCTACCTGAAATCCCCTGAAAAGAATCACACTAAGTCAAACTTTAATTGACATATGATTATTATTATTAAAATATAAATGATAGGTCCTGATTCTATGGATTTCTGGCCACTCTGCATATGCTGAACTGGCAATACAGGAAGCTGGTGGAGCTGTATTTTCAGCTGGAAAGAAAGATGTTTATTGAAGAACTACATCTAGGAGATGGTTGGCTTCTTCTACCTCTGGCTGTTTTCCAGTGTGTGTGTGTGATGTGAGATGAAATGAATCAAACTCCAGGGAAAAGAAAGAGCAGGCTGGGTAATCCATACTGGTGGTTTCTGTTTCCCCCTAGTGGCATGTCATTACTTGGACAAGTGTAGTTAAATACTTCTCTGCTACCAACAAAGGAAGCATTATTATGAGATTTATTATGGCCTTCCTTTTGTTACAGATCTCCATGCTAGTCAGTTTCAGGGCAGGATTTGACCCAGGCTGTAGCATTGTGAGAAGGGGTGCCTTCATCCACTTTCCATTCCTCATTTTATAAACATTCCCACCCTATCCCAAGATGTATTCCTGATACCCAGCGTTTCGTTTCGTTTAGTCGTTTAGTCGTGTCCGACTCTTCGTGACCCCATGGACCAGAGCACGCCAGGCCCTCCTATCTTCCACTGCCTCCCGGAGTTGGATCAAATTCATGTTGGTTGCCTCGCAGACACTGTCCAGCCATCTCATCCTTGGTCGTCCCCTTCTCCTCTTGCCATCACACTTTCCCAACATCAGGGTCTTTTCCAGGGAGTCTTCTCCTCTCATTAGATGGCCAAAGTACTGGAGCCTCAGCTTCAGGATCTGTCCTTCCAGTGAGCACTCAGGGTTGACTTCCCTCAGAATTGATAGGTTTGTTCTCCTTGCAGTCCAGGGGATCCTCAAGCGTCTCCTCCAGCACCACAATTCAAAGGCATCAATTCGTCGGCGGTCTGCTTTCTTTATGGTCCAGCTCTCACTTCCATACATCACGACAGGAAAAACCATAGCTTTGACTATTCGGACTTTTGTTGGCAAGGTGATGTCTCTGCTTTTTAACATGCTGTCAAGATTTGTCATCGCTTTCTTCCCAAGAAGCAGGCGTCTTTTAATTTCGTGGCTGCTGTCTCCATCTGCAGTGATCATGGAGCCCAGGA